TTGTTACTTTGTGTCTAAATATCTGGTGCAAATCCAGTATGGTTGAATAATAATGACTGCTGGTCCCTCGAAACCTATTATTGTTGTTGTTGTTGTTGTTGTTGTTATTATTATTATTATTATTCACAACAACATGAAATCACAGCTGCCAGTTCTTTAGTTGGTGTTTGACTACTTTCGCATCGAGTTCTTCCCAAGAACCTAGGATGTTGTAATGTATCGGCATAGTATATGTGTGGATCCAAGCAGTGTTGTGTTGTTATTGTTCATGTTATTATTAACATCACCACCAGTACTGCATTTCTGGACACAATGCAAGCAATCTAAGATGGGTCTTCAGATATACTTCTTTTTTATTGCCCCAAGTGATTTTATGTCTGACCAAAATAACAAGAACAAGATCATGTTCTGGTTGTAGCTGGCAGGGGATGGGAACTAATTTATATGAACACTAATCTAAGCTGGAATCTCATTTTGCCTGATTCTCAGTCTAGCGTTGTAAAGATTTTTGAAAATGATGGGGAAAAAACGATAAAATAGGGGAGGATTTTTAGAAAAAACTATCCCTACCCCAAACCTTTACATTTCTACTACTATTTATTATTTCATTTAGAATAGAAGAAGGCCATGGAGAAGATCAACTTTTACCCCTAGTTTATTATACTAGTTTTAATTAGGTGAAAACAATGGAGATTATTGGATTAAAAAAACTGATTAAAAAAAGAAGTAGTGTTGCTATTGTAGTCTCAAGTGATGGAGCCAGATGCAGGCTGGCCATCCTGAAGAGAATTAGGGCTGTGTTTTGTTGTTAGAAAATATCTGTTTAGAATTTGTTCCCTTGTCAAGGAAATTATAATCCATCGACGTGGGGCCCAGTATCATCAATATGCTGACAATGCCCAGCTATATATCTTGACCTCAGGCCAAACAGAGAATATGGTAGAGATGCTGACTCACTGCTTGGAGGCTGTTAGAGTCCGGATAGGGAGGAACAGACTCAGACTGAATCCCTCCAAGGGCGTCTTTGGGCCATACGATTCCAGGGAAATAACCATCTTTGACTCTAAACGGAGTTATACTCCAAATTGTGGTTCGCAATTTGAAAGTTCTTCTGGACTCAGCTCCTGCTCAATCAGCAGGTGGCAGCTGTGGCTAGGAATGCTTTTGTACAATTACAACTTGTGTGCCAATTTCAGCCTTTCCTGGATCAGGAGGCCCTGCTCACAGTCACTCATGCCTTATTCACCTCCCACTTGGGATTACTTGGGCTGCCCTTGGAAAGCATTTGGAAGCTATAGTTGGTACAAAATGTGGGGGCCAGTCAATGATGGGTGTATCCCAACATATTCAGGTGATCCCACTACTTCAGGAGCTGCATTGTTTGCCAGTTGGCTTCCAAGTGTGATTCAGGATCCTGCTTGTCACCTTTAAAGCTCTACACAACTCTGGACTGGGCTGTCTGTGGGACCACATTTTCTCATATTCATCTGCCTGTCGGAACAAGTTGAATAGGGTCAGCTCCTTCCGGGTCCTATGTGTATGAGATTGCCATCTCAAGGGGCCTTGGAAGCAGGCATTTTTTACTGCTGTTACCATACTCTGGAATTCCTTCCCTACAGAGTTCCGGCCTGCTCCTTCTCTTCTGGAGAAGAGTTAAGACCTGTTTTTTCCCACCAAGCTCAGGAAGAAGGCATGCTGTGATTGAAGATTTGAATTTGGCAGATGCATATTATTGTATATTTTTCTTTTTTGTATAATTATGATACTGTATTTGGTTCATTTTATGGGTGGGTTTGTTTATTATTTTTATGTGGAGGAGGTTGCTCAGAGATGTTTCTACTTGTTAGTTGCCCAGAGTTTTCTGAAATGGGCAGCATACAAATGAACAGATAAAAGGCTGAGATGCCCCGTATTGCTTCTAGAGTAAAGCTTTATGATTTTTTTTGAAAAAATAACATAATGCATCCATCTGAACCATTGAGTTGTTAAGTGTACTTTAAAAAACGGCTTTTGTTATATCTTTGTGGTTTCAAGAGTTCTTAAGAGCATAGCTTCTGAGACTAGACCATAGAAGTATAGGGGAAACTCTGGGAAAAAAAACAATGACAGGAAACTGATTGCCTCTTTTTTATTAGTTATCATCTTTAGTTCACTATATAAATTCAACCATTTATATTTTTAGCTAACAGTGTTCTCTGCTTTTGGAGGTGACAGGAATCTCACATGTTCCTGCAAAAACCACATGTGTGAATTGGCCTGTCAAAGTGGAATAGCACTAAAAGTTTATTCTCTGGCACATTTGTAGTATTGCTTGTAAAGAATGACTTGTTTTGATTTTGGGGGAATATATTTAAATCTAATTTGAGAAATTAAGCTTTTTAAGCATATCTCATTATCCCTCATCTTTCTATCAGAAAGGATCTTCTCTCTGCTATTAAATCTTGAGGAACTGATCAGGGTTCTCATGGATGTCAGCATTGCCACCTGCATATTAGATCCTTGTCCCTCCTGATTAAGACCTTGTGGGAAGTGACCAACTGCTGGCTCCAGATAATGGTTAATTCATCCTTGTGTTGGCTGGTTGACCTACTAGGAGGCAGTGGTCTGCCCTCTCCTCAAGAAACCATTACTGGACCCAGCATTGTTGGAATTTTTTTTTACCTTTCCTTTTGGGGGAAGTTTGTGGAGAAGGTGGCCCTCCAGAGGGCCCTGGCAGAAGTGAATTATCTGAACCTTTTCAGTCAGACTTGAGGTCTGGGTACAGCACTGAGATAGGCTTGATTATGCTTGTAGATGATCTTTGGGGGGACCAGGATAGGGGTGATGTGACACTCTTGGTCCTGCTTGATCTTTTAGTAGCATTTTATTCCATTGATTATGGTGTCCTTCTGGATTGTCTCTGGCTATTTTGTTGGGGGGGGGAGTCTATTTTGTTGTGGTTCTCCTTCCTTTGCGGCAGTTTCTAATTGGTGTTGTTAGGAGGGAAGAGATCCAGTCCAAGGCCTTTGTTTTGTGGGGTCCCACCGAATTCGACACTCTCCCCAATTTTATTCAGCATCTGCATGAAGCCACTGGGTCAAGTTATCTGCTGGCATGGGGTTTGATATCATCAGCATGCTGATGATATCCAGCTCTATATCTTGATCCTTAGCCAAATAAGCAGTGCTGTAGAATACCTGTCCCAGTGTCTAGAGGTGGTTAAGGCTGTGGATGGGAAGAAAGAAGCTTAGGCTCAATCCTAGCAAGACTGAATAGGTTGGATTTTAGGGACCTGCCAGTCACAGTGATTTTACCATCTTTAGTTCTTGATGGGGGTTGCGTTGTCCTAGTATGCAGTTTTGGTGGTCCTCCTGGACTCTTGTCTCCAGCTCTATGAGCAGATGGCAGCCATGACCAGGAGGGCCTTTGTACAAATTCATCTTCTGTGCCAATTGCATCCCTTCCTGGATTGGGAAGCCCTCTCACAGTCACTCATGCTGTAGTGCCCACCTGTTTGGACTGTTGCAGTATGCTGCACTAGGGACTGCCCTTGAAGATCACTTGGAAGCTACAGGTGGTCCAAAATGCATCTAAGTAGCTATAGCCCTGTTGGGCTTTTATAAAGCCATAAAATCATGGATTTTCTGACAGACCTGGGATATGGTATAGCAGTGGGCTCCCTGATATTGGTTAGTTGTGAGCATGTTCGTTTAGTTACCTTCCTTGATGTGCCCCACATGTTTTCATATTAATGTTGTCCTTTTGTTATTTTTACTTATTATTTACTTGATAATTCTGGAAATTATTTAGAATCATTTTGTGATTGAGATGGCATACACATTGATTTACAAATAAATAGATATTAAATAATATTTCAGATGGCTGCTTTTGAAGCAAATGATAATAAAAAAATACATTTTATGGAGCTCTGTATCTACCAATTTCTTGTCTAATTCTTAGGTATGGGATTATGAGACAGGTGATTTTGAACGCACCCTGAAGGGCCACACAGATTCTGTGCAGGATATTTCCTTCGACCATAGTGGCAAGCTATTGGCCTCTTGTTCTGCAGACATGACCATTAAGTTATGGGATTTCCAGGGCTTTGAGTGCATCAGAACCATGCATGGTAAGGAATTTTAAAAAATCATTAGTAATCATAAGATGAAATAAAAACTAGGTATACCTCTCCCCTTTTCTGATGATGATGTGAACAAGATGACACCACATCCAAGATAAGGCTTAATTCTTATATACAGCTTGATAACCCTGCACTGGAGCTATCACACTTTGTGGCGCAGGTAGGAGTTCACATCCTTAAGAGCTTTTCCATGCAGTAGTGTCTTCTCCACATGAATGACATAGTTTTATCCTGATCTCCCCTCTCATATATTAGCAGATCATTTTCTGTGGTGGACCACAACATGGGGAGACATGACTCACAGCCCTGGAAGTGGTGTGATCCAGTCCAGGCATATGCTTGCCACTAACCTATTACACTGCTCGGTGTATTTTGTTTCTTTTTTTATTACTGGCTGATTACAATTTAACTTTGCTGTACTAGGATTGAAATGTTACAGGTTTTGTGCAATGTAATACTAACGTTGAGTGGGAGCTGAAGGCTGTAATGCTTACTGTTTATTTACTGTATGGTGCGGTTACAGCTCAGTACCCACGGGAAGCATCACATTTTGGTTCATTTTGTGGTATGTATTCAAAAGCAGAAATTGTTTCTCCCTTCAGTAGTCCTTTGAATCAAAAACTTGCCTGTTCTCCATTTCAGGACTATAGCCATGGCTGCGAGGCATTCAGATATTTTTGCTTCCTGGGAGTGTCTTTAAAGAGGCCCAGTAGGCAGAACATGTTTCTGAAAAAAAAGTGTATTGCTTCTGGAGGAAATAGAGTAGCACTGTTTCCAGCCTAGAACTCGGAAATGGTTACTGTTTTTCAAAAAGAGACAATTAAAAGTGGTAGTTAATATCTACAAACTTTCTCCCTGAGGATTAGCGAGTGGAGAATCTGTTACCCTTCAGGTGTTGTGACTTCAACCCAATTCCTGCCAGCATGAACAGCAGTAAGGATTTTGCTCTCCTGTGCATGGATGGTGTTACCTAGCCTGATAATGAAATGTCTGCAAGGGGGGGGAAAAAAAGCAAGCTCAGAGAATACCGAGAATTCTTAGTGCCATGCCTAATTTTATATTTCAGTAGTATCTTTCCTTCCCACCTTAAAGGTCTGCAGTGCTGTGCCCTCTCCAGGGTTGCCAGCCCCCTGATCATTCACTTACCCCTTTTCAGCCTCCTTTTCAGTTCTGCAGTGACATTTTTTAAATGTGGCGACCAAATTTTGATGTTCAAAATATAACTACCACTCTGTGCCCATTCAGATGATGTAGTTTTGATTACAGAGCCAAAGAAGAATAGATGGTCTTGAAGACTGAAAAAAACAGGCTGTTTATAAGTTGCCCGAAGTTCATAGGGTCACTTGTCCATTGTTGCTGTAGCAGTCTTTCCATGATTTGAAATGTTGGGGGATTCTTTCTGAAATTGCTCCCTTGCTCTTTCCAGCTTCTGTCTTTATATTAATACCTGCAAGGCTACAACTTTAAGGGCTGTGGTTCCTTGGTCAAGTACCTTGGGTGAAAATATATATTCTTGAGCTTTTAATTAGCATGCCATGGTTATTCCTCAGAAGCAATGCAACACACCATTGTGTATAGCCAGGTAACTGCCAAAGCATACTGTGTGCTTTTTTCAGCAGCGCCTCTTGCTTGCCTCCTGAGGATTACCATATGGCAGCTGCGATTGATGGCAGTTATAAACTGGTACATCTGGAGGGCACCCAGTTGGGAAAGGCTGCCATATAGAATTGTGTGCAGGGGTGAATTAAATAATGGTATTCACATACATTGTGATAAAGTCACATGGAAACTTAATGTGAGTATGTGCTTTCTTCTTTTTCTGTAGGACATGATCATAATGTTTCTTCAGTAGCCATCATGCCCAATGGGGATTATATAGTATCTGCTTCAAGGGATAAAACCATCAAAATGTGGGAAATTCAAACAGGGTAAGAGCCTGCAGATACATTTATATGAAGGTGAAATGATACATCTTTAGACGTACTTTTAGGAAATGGGATGGACATTGCGGGGGAATTATTAGCTTGGTAGTGGAGAAACTGCATTTCATACAGAAAAGCCCAGATTGAATTCCCAGCATCTCTAAGTTAGCAGGATCAAGTGGCAGGTGATAGGGAATAACAGTCTGATACAGAGCCAGCAAAACCATTCATTAGATGAACATGTAGCTTGCTTTGGTTGCTCATTTAGTAGATGACAACCCACAAACAGATTAGTTGTCTGATCCATGGTGGGTTAGGCCATAGCATAACCAAGTGTGATTAAAGTATGTGCCCATTTTGTTCATGGCTTTGCTGTTCCTCCTGGAGTATTGGAAGGCAAAATATTTTCTTTGCTAATACAAACTTCCATACAGATTGTGTAGTACACACATAGGGCCACTGTCTGTTCCTGGAGAAGACATACTGGAGCCACATCTCTTCCAATGTTTCATAACATGGATTCCTGCCATATTATCTCCCTGAGCATAAGAGTATTCACTAGGAACAGACCATTCCCTGTAGCCATTCCCATGGTTCTTGTGCTTCAGCACAGAGATATACATGTGAGAAATACTTTACTGGATTCTGAAACAGCAAGTTGCCTCTAAAAAGCTCTGAGTTTGTGTGATGATGTTTGCCTCTCTTTTTTTTAAGCAACTGGTGTACTGAAATTCTGTACATGGCTGAAACTTATTGATTTAATGTAGTGTCTGAAAACCTCATACTTTTTAAATCAGAGGAAAAAAATATTCAGTGCATGGAGATTGATCATGTTAATTCAGCTCAACATTGAGTCACTTGGTTTTTGTTTTCATCCTGGTTGTCTCATTTTTAAAATATGGTCCTTGGCACTCCACACAAAAATCAAGTGTTGTCTTCAATTTGTGTTGCCTTTAAGGTTACACAGTCCTGATTTAACAACTTTTCTACAAGAGAATGTATTTGTGAAGTGTGATACATATATTTCTTTAGAACTGTGAGGAAAGTGATCTCAGATTTCCTGTCTCTCTTCAACGTGTGGGATTTTTGATACTTTCTGTAGGGTTGGTCTGATATTGTTAGCTATCCTGGAAAATCTCTCAGACCATTTTATGCTTCTGCTCAGAGCATAGTTTCTTTAACTGCTCTTTCTCCTTTGCCCTCCTTTGCCTGTTCAAACCACCTGTAGTCTTCCCAACCCAGTTTAATAACAAAAATTTCTAAACTGGGTTGGCAAGACTACAGGCTAGCTCTTTTAAAAAAAAAAATGCTGCAGGCACCTGAATTATCCTGAGACAATCAATTTTATTGGTTCTATTTTCTGTAGCAATGTTGTATTAATATGACGTCTTTTCTTTCCTGTGAACAGCTACTGTGTGAAGACTTTCACGGGGCATCGAGAATGGGTCCGCATGGTACGGCCTAACCAGGATGGCACGCTGATTGCCAGCTGTTCTAATGACCAGACTGTGCGTGTCTGGGTGGTAGCAACAAAGGAGTGCAAAGCTGAACTTAGAGAACATGAGCATGTAGTAGAGTGTATTTCCTGGGCTCCTGAGAGCTCCTATTCCACCATATTGGAAGCTACAGGATCTGAGGTAAGGGGGGAGAAGCATCCTTATTGGTTTGGCAACCTTTTCCACTTGAGAGTTTGACATGCTTTGGATTTTCTCCCAAGGGAAGTCTTCTTTCTTCTCTCTTTAATGTTGTATGGTAAAAACTTTCCATTTCGGGCAGGTTTGTGTGATGTCAAACTGTTTAAATCAGTGTTGCCAAGGCTGGCTGGGGAATCCTGGGAGTTGAAGTCCACACATCTTAAAGCTGCCATCGTTGAGAGACACTGCTCTAAATACTTTCTCTTTTTGTGAGTCATATTATGATGCGTTACAGTGTCATTCTATAATCTTGCTGGGGAATTGTGGGTGCTGTAGGTCTAAAACATTTAGAGAGCATAGACAGCATCAAATTTGGGAAGACAGGGTACAGTCCTGCTACGTGGGGGCATTGGCATTATTTTAAGGTAGATGATGGATTTTTTTTTCATTTTCATTTTTTTCTGTAAAAAAGGTGGGGTGGTATCAATGCTTATTTAAAATCATTTATAATCCCTCCTTTCAACTATAGCCTATAGATAACAAAATAGGTGCAAGCAAAAACCAAAAAAGTCTTGTGGCCACCTCTAAAAGTTATTATGTGAATTATGTCATAGGCTTCTTTGGACTAGAATCAACAATTAAGGTTGTTTAAAAAAAGGTAGTAAAGATTTAAAAAACGACTAAATTCAAATATGTGACAGTTGATCATTTGGGCAGCATTTGGACAGATAGCGTTATGCTATCTGTCCTCAACAGTTCTTTAGTTTTTAGTTTAGCATTGCAGTGAAGCATGAATGAAAACTATTTGCATGTCTCTAATGAGAATATCAGTAAAGCCCACCACTGAGAAGGTTCTTTCCTTAGTAACCTCTGGCCCTAGGATGCTCAGGGCCTTAAGTACAGGGATGTGAACATTGAGCATGGTAAACAGAGTTGATTCTGTGGATGATCTGCTCCAGTGTCATGGAAGATCTGCAGCAGCAGTTCTTCATTTTGCTTTCCAACCAGCTGGAAGATGATGCAGGGAAGCCGTTGTTTCTTCTAAGTGTTTTTCCAAATAAACCACGTCACGGTAGCCCAAGTCTTGTGCGTAATAGGGCATGGAGGCAAACCGGTTGATGGGAGAAGAACCAGAATAGCCGATGTGGTTTGATGAGTAAATGTAGTGATTGCTGGTAACGTTAGCAAATTTTGGGTTACTGCTGCTTGGCATGGGGAATCTGGCTATATTCCTATGGAACTATGCCTGCACTGCAGTTCATTTTATACAACAAGTAGGCAATGTGTGAAGTTCATTTTTGCAATGTGATTACAAGCATCTCTCCATCCTAATCCATCCTGCACCATCACCATTTTTTTCTTTCTGTGTAAAATGCAGGGTTCGATTCCTTCTGGGTTCAATTCCTATGTGTACCAGCTCCCCTATGAAAACTCATTTACTAGATTTTTTTTTAAAAAAAGTTTAGAATGACAGCATAAAAGGATTGCCATCATTTTGCCTTTATTGCGATCAGGATTGAAGCTTTTCCAGTTTCTAAAAAGGATTTCCAAGCATCCCTGTCTTGGTCATTTCTTTCAACTGACTGTTTTTTTCTTCCCAGCCCTGTACTGGCTTAATGCTAGAATGATAACCAAAAGCTTCCAGGGCTGAAGGAATTGTTAGCTTCCAGTATCTGTTTAGTAAGAGCCTATTCTGGCTTTGCTGTTAAGGGCCAAACAGTCATGGGGGCAGAGAGCTTGTATTATCACAGCAATGCTCATACTTTGAATGTAAATCAGCCTTCCCCAGTGTGGATTTTCCTAGGTTGAGACCCCTCCCTTGTAAAATTCCCAGTCAGTATTGCCCACGTTTCTGGAGGGAACCAGCTTGGGGAAGGCTGGTGTAAAAGGTAGCCTTTTGAAGTTCCGTTTTTATCTTTGACATTCAAGAGTAGATCATATGGTAAGATGCCTCGGGCTTCCTTTGCCAACATGCTAATGATAATGACCTGGTTGCTGCTTAAGTGTCTTTAATGTCTCCTGTCCTGGTTATTATGGATTTCCACATGTTATCTTGGAGGAGTCTTTTAATCAGTTCTTGTGAATCTCTAAATGATATGGGTCTCCTTGAGGAAGGAAAAAGGGAGGCAAATTAGGGAAGCCTTACAATTAGTGAATGGAAGATGATAGATGATATACAGTGGGGCAAAAAAGTATTTAGTCAGCCACCAATTGTGCAAGTTCTCCCACTTAAAAAGATGAGAGAGGCCTGTAATTTTCATCATAGGTATACCATGGGAAAGGGAATAATCTACAGTGGGGCAAAAAAGTATTTAGGCAATAATTAGAAAATGGAAGACATACAAGACCACTGATAATCTCCCTCGATCTGGGGCTCCATGCAAGATCTCACCCCGTGGGGTCAAAATGATCACAAGAATGGTGAGCAAAAATCCCAGAACCACACGGGGGGATGGGAAAGGGAATAATCTACAGTGGGGCAAAAAAGTATTTAGGCAATAATTAGAAAATGGAAGACATACAAGACCACTGATAATCTCCCTCGATCTGGGGCTCCATGCAAGATCTCACCCCGTGGGGTCAAAATGATCACAAGAATGGTGAGCAAAAATCCCAGAACCACACGGGGGGATGGGAAAGGGAATAATCTACAGTGGGGCAAAAAAGTATTTAGGCAATAATTAGAAAATGGAAGACATACAAGACCACTGATAATCTCCCTCGATCTGGGGCTCCATGCAAGATCTCACCCCGTGGGGTCAAAATGATCACAAGAATGGTGAGCAAAAATCCCAGAACCACACGGGGGGATGGGAAAGGGAATAATCTACAGTGGGGCAAAAAAGTATTTAGGCAATAATTAGAAAATGGAAGACATACAAGACCACTGATAATCTCCCTCGATCTGGGGCTCCATGCAAGATCTCACCCCGTGGGGTCAAAATGATCACAAGAATGGTGAGCAAAAATCCCAGAACCACACGGGGGGTCTGGATTTTTTTCCCCATTTTGTCTCTCATAGTTGAGGTATACCTATGATGAAAATTACAGGCCTCTCTCATCTTTTTAAGTGGGAGAACTTGCACAATTGGTGGCTGACTGAATACTTTTTTGCCCCACTGTAGATTATTCCCTTTCCCATTGTGTCTGAACAGAGGAACTGCTCTGTTTTGATGCAAAGAGTTGTTTCAGATATAACAGTACAATACCTTTTTTACTAGATCAGCTGAAAAAAACCTCAAATAGTTACCCCTAAAGTTGGCCAGAATTCTTCAATTTGGATGTTAAAAGGGTGAGGGGAAAAGATATACTTGAACATAATGGAAAATCCTCAAGTGACTCTCAACATCATGCTGTCAGATATCTTGGGATTATAGCTCCTAGAATTCCTAGTTAGCTATTGGCCTGATTCTTCATGTAGTAGAAGATTCTTCATGTTGTGGATCTAACCCATCTGAGGACACCAGAGTCATGAATTATACTGTACTTGATGCAGAAAACATGCTGGAGTGAAATACAACATTCTCTCTATTTTGAAAATGTGAGAGTCAGGAGTTATTTAAGTCAGGCTCTCTTGCTAACTGGAAGACAGAAATCCTAAATACAGCAATCCTTATACTGGCAAAGTTATAATACCTAATGTGGCTGTGGGACATCTTCAAACTACCTTCCTCTCAGTTCTAGAATTACTTTCCTCAACAGGTCTCCTCTGTTAATGAAAGCAACCCCCAATCAATAAAGACAGTTCATTAAATGAAAAGGGGAAAAGAAACTCTCCACAGTTTATTATAGAGTTTATTATAGAGCAATGTTTTGTTGAATTGGAGAGATTTGCTGTTTTTCTTTCAAACTGATGATTTGTGCTCATTGGCTGAAATTAAGTAGCTCTGTTTTTTTAAAAATTTTATTTCTCTACCACTCTTCCTCCCAGAGGAGCCTTGAACAGTTTGCAAGTGAATAATAAGAAAGTCCTAAATGAAACATCATGAAAAAACAATGAACACAGTAAAGATAAAAAAGAACAAAATTCATTTAATAAAACAGAAAAGCAAAATAATAGACAATCATTCAGTCCAGATATGTTATATCTTGAGTGTTGAAGCTTATTTTTACAGAATGTTCTTTTTTTTTTCTTTTCCCTGTAGACTAAGAAGAGTGGTAAGCCTGGGCCTTTCCTGCTTTCTGGATCCAGAGACAAGACCATTAAGATGTGGGACATTAGTACTGGCATGTGCCTTATGACACTTGTAAGTTTCTTGAATATAATTTTCTCTGTTCGTCTGCTTTGCAACTCTGTGTAGTTGCTACATGAGGGAATAGATCTGTACTTCTTATGGGGTGAGCTCAAGCATTCTCTGAGGAATCCAAGTGCACACATCAGAATAAATAGAATTGGGAGAGCTTGAAGGAGGACTGGAAAAACAGGTTACTGTTTCTCTCCAAGAAACTTGAAGTCCTGTTAATTCTAGTACAGCAAATTTGGGGCAAGGAGTAGCATAATCTGAGCTCTGCATTTTGATTTGTGTTGTTCATCTTCAGATGTGCATAAATGATCTGCTTGTGACTTTGTGTTTTTCTGTCTCCCTTAAAAGGTGGGCCATGATAACTGGGTACGTGGTGTCCTGTTCCACTCTGGTGGTAAATTTATTTTGAGCTGTGCCGATGATAAGACCTTACGTGTCTGGGACTACAAGAACAAAAGATGCATGAAGACTCTTAATGCGCATGAACATTTTGTTACCTCGTTGGGTATGTATATGCATTAAGTATGCTGGTAACATGCTCAACTGAGAGAGTGCATCCCAACCTTCTTCTGTACCTGGGAGCTGGGCTTGTATGTTATGCACACCACACCTCAGTCAAATAACAGCTGGTCATTAGACTGACCCATGGCAACTATATCAACAAATGCCCGTCATCTCAGCTTGCCTCCAGCAATAATCTGTAGCTCTTGCAAGAAAATTCCAGTTATTTCTTTGAACCTGTCCATACACATTAATTATGGGCTTCCCTACCTTCTACTTCTCTTGGCCTTGCCAGGCAATCTTTTTTCTGCTCACTTTGCATGCTCATAGAATGAATTGCTGTTCCTGCTGATCACCTTAGGAGAGCAGCCAACCTTTATTGTGTCCTGGACCAGTTGATTAGTTCTTCTTACAGTACATGGTACTCTTAGTAATCATCTCCAAACTGTAATTTGAAGATGTCAGTCTTTTTTCTCAGCATTCAGCTTTCATAGTTGCACATAACCACAAATGAAAAAGCACTGCTTCAACTATTCTGATCTTTGGTGTTACTGAAATACTCCTTTTCTTCAGGATACTTCTTACTGCCTTCCTCCCAAGGATTAGCAAAACTATTTCCCTTCTTTAATATAAATTTATAGACCAAACTTTCTAGACTACACATTTTTGTTCCAGAATTGTTGACAGAAATCTACTGCACTTTAACTGCTTCTTCTCCTAAGGCTTTAAATAGTTAATCTGTCCCTGGTGTTTTTTCTGTTTGATAGTTGATCTGTTGCCTGTTGTAGTTCACTTTCTAATCCACTCAGTTCCTGAACAGATTCTCTTTCTTTAGATGTGTGTCATTCTGTAATCATATTTGTAAGGGTTTCAGCACAATCTTTCCATCTTTTAACTTTGTTTCCCTCTGCTAGATCTCTTCCATGATTATTGTTGAGTAGACCTGCCTCAACTGTCAACTTTCCCATGGTTTCTCTGAGCATCTTAAAAGCACCTCCCATCTCCTTTTCCTTGTTAATGTCCTCTGTTGACATTCTCGGTTGAGGTATCTATCTTTGTCCTTCGTTGTTTGATGCTGAATGTTTGTGTGCAGTCCTCATACTTGTTGCCCAGGGTTTTTATTCTCAGTTTTTCCCAATTTATTTTTATCTCTCTCTCTCTCTCTCTCAAATTTGTCACCACCCATCTTGTTGAAACAACTCTGGGTGGTTTACAGCAGAGATAAAATCAATTAAAATAGAATATAAAAACAATTTAATAATAAATAAATTCCAAGAAAGATGGAGAATTGGTGAGTAACTCAGGGAGCATCATCAGGGTGCTAACCAGCCCTGGGGACAGTTAGAGCTCATGTCGCCCCATGCACACTGGCAGAGCCAGGTCTTTAATCCTTTCTGGAAAGCCAGGAGGGTAGGGGCCCGCCACACCTCTTGGGGGAGAATATTCCAAAGGGCGGGGACAACGGCAGAGAAAGCTCTCCTCCTGGGCCCCACCAGCCAACATTCTCTCGCTGACAGGGTCTGCAACATGCCCTCTCTGGCTGACTGGGTGGGTTGGGTTGATGTGATGGGGGTGAGATGGTCCCTCAGGTAACCTAGACCCATGCCATGTACGGCTTTAAAGGTGATTGCCAACACCTTGAATTGGATCCAGAAGCAAACTAGGTCCCAGTGCAATTCCTGCAGCAAAGGTGTTACGTGTGCTATCCTTGGGGCACCTAATAACATCTGCGCGGCTGCATTTTGAACCAACTGTAGCTTCCAGATACTCTTCAAGGGTAGCCCCACATAGAGCGCATTGCAGTAGTCTAGCTGAGAGATGACCAGTGCGTGAGTGACTGACTGGAGAGCCCCCTGATCCAAGAAGGGGTGTAACTGGCTCACCACACGAAGTTGGGCAAAGGCCCACCTGGCCACAACTGCCACCTTCATGCTAGCCTTTTCTGAAAATCATTTGAATAATTTCTTCTTTGAAATTTAAGGAATATTTGTTCCCCCTTTGGTTTTCACAGTGTTACTTACAATTGGTTCCTCTCTCTTTTGCATAAGTTAAGTGTACTGACTGTTTCTTACATTCTGACTGTATATCTTCCAGGTCAAATCTTGCTAGTATAGCTACTCTTTAGTTTTTTAGGTTTAACCGGTATATTTGACACCAGTAATGTATGGTTTGTTCCACAATTTGTTCCTGGATGTATCTTGACTTTTTTCACATTCTGAATATCAGCTTCATTCTTGGAACAGCGTCATTCTTTCTAACAGTATTATTCTGAATGTTCTGGTCATAGGAGATACCCTCAAAGAGTCAGGCCATTCCCCATTTTGAGGATTCCGAGCTTAAGGCAAAGCACTTATATTTCCAGAGTTTGTCGCAAAGGAACACAGCCAGCTTGGAACACTTGATGGAGTTTTGAGTGGGCTCTTTTGTTCTGAGCATGAAACAAAACACATTTCCTGTTTTGTTTCTGCCTCTACTTCAGAGACTATTGCTCTTTCTCTCCATCCCAGCCCAGCCTTTATTCTCAGAGCATGTGGAAGCAAAGACACATTCTGCATGTTTGCAAGCCACTGCTAGCTTGCTGTGCTAACCAATACAAATGTTATAGTCCGGGGGTGGATGGGTGGGTGGGATTTAAGACTTACACTTTGCTGTTTGCGGCTTGCTGCCTGGCTCTAGAAGGGTTGGATGATTGGCAACGTTCGTACGCTGTGCTGATGGAGCTAGGCTGGTACCCTTTCTTGCTACCCTTCACTTAAAACCCATAGCATCCTTGGAATAAGCGTACCTATGGCAAACTAGTATCCCATCTCCTGAAAGTCTAAAGCTGGAAGGGGAGAAGTTCCTGGAAGGAAACAAAGGAGGCATGTTCTTATCTGTTGCTCAAGGAAAGGAGTTTAGTTGTTGGGAACCATGATAGGAATTTGAAAATTCAGGCAAGAACCACATGTTAGCACCAGCCTTGTATGTTCTCATATTCCATATACTTAATTTGTAGTGTTTTATACATACTTGGCAGTAGCGACTGCAGTCCAAAGAACCTTATAATAAATTAGAACGCGTGGCAGGCTTCAGCCTCATACTTAACTGAATTGCTCAGGAGCCACAGCAGAGAGGAGAAGAGCTGGTCAAAACTTAAACAGAAGATGCCTGAGCTCTCACTTGTACTGGTGGGGCACTTTTTGCAACTGCAAAAAAATAGGCCAAGATACAAAGAGGTGCCTGACTGCAGCTCCCTCTGCTGTTTCTTTCTCCTTGCCCCCTTGGGAGATAGTATTACTGAGGGCTGTCTTCCAACTGTTGTTCAGTTAAGTTGATTTGAATGGAGCACATAACTTTTGCTTTATTAGTAAGAGCCTGGCCTTCACTTGATTGATTGACTTTAAATCTCTGTAAACATGGAAGTGAAAAACAGTGAAGAAAACAATTATTTGGCATGGGAAAGGGGAATACAGTGGGGCAAAAAAGTATTTAGTCAGCCACCAATTGTGCAAGTTCTCCCACTTAAAAAGATGAGAGAGGCCTGTAATT